CTCACAATATCAAATCTCCGCGAAACAATTTCACCTTCCGCTCCATTAGTGACTAAAAGCTTACTGCCTTCTTATCAAGTCCAAGCGGTAGCGTTAAAGTTGCTGCTGCTGTAATTGAACTTCAGACAATTCAATACGATCTGTTTTTCTTTCATCTGAGTTTCAATTAACAACAACTGTTTCTGTCGCTTAAATGTCAAATGAGACATTGAAGACCTATCACTAATGGCAGCTTCTGTAGACAATTGTGATTTTAAAATACCGCGATCAAACAACACAGTCTTTATCATGGTTTTAATGCTGTCTTTTAAACGTTTATCTTGAGTCGACAAATTAATTTTGTAATGAGTTGCGAATTCTAAGAGCTGATCTTTAGAAAAAAATCATCTAATAAATCTTCCGACGGTGCAGTAACAAATTCTTACATTTTAGAAGCCAAACTGAAACACAAAACAAATGTAGGCCTACTTATATTGTCTAACTAATATCTGAAGAGTAGCAACACTGGAAAAGCGATTCCCTCTACCTATTCAAAACTCAACCCTAGTCTTCATACTGTTACTTGCAGCAGGTTTTTATACACTGTAAACCATTGTTTGCAATAGCAACCAATTGGCAAGTTACCATTACAAAACACGGACATGTTCCCAATGCTCTAACTGCGTTCACCGTACAAACACAACAAACTAAAGTAAAAACAACAATCAGAGCATCCTGTAAAGGACACCCTGCTAAACCTTTACAGGGAAAAGCATAATCCAAGTGTTACCCATCAAATATAGAAAGTAGCCTACTAACCAAGCTCCAATTCCCACAGAATAAAAAAAAAATTCACGGATGTCATAGAGGCACTCCAAAAAAAAAAAAAAAAAAAAACCCAAAAAAAAAAACCAATTTTTAATTTTTGCTCAGAGTAATGACAATTTTCATACAAAAAGTTTGGTTAATTAAATTTGGGTAATTTAAATCAGTATGCTGTTCATAGTGACCTCAGTTGTATTCTCAGGTGATAAATTAAACCAGACATAGTAAAAAAAAGTTGGCAACAAGTTACCTCTTGATATTTCTGTCAGCAATTTCGGCTCTCAAACTATTTTGGCTGAAACCAAAAATTCCTGTTTTGTGCTGTTTTGGCTGAATTTTGGTGCATCACTGGGGAGAAGAAAAACTTTCATTTTTCTGTTGAATACCATAGAAGATATTTTGAAGAATATGGGTAACCAAACAGCTGATAAGGAAAAAACTATATGGATTCAACTTGAGGGTGAATAAATGATGACAATTTTTTTTTCCCATTTTTGGGTGAACTAAAACTAAAAACTCCCTTTAATTTCAACATTTTCTCTCCTCATCCAGTCCAATGCAAACTGGAAATCCCCTGCCCTCTTTTAGCAATGCAAATGAAATTACTAATGGATTAAGTACAATTCTGTTTCAAATTGAATGCAATAAAAATAAATTCTCACAAATTGTCAAATTACTGTATTAGCTCATTCTAAATAAGTACATTATTAGGGCAGTCCATCTGCAAAGACACCTGCACAGAGAGAAGAACTGATGTAATGACTTTGGTTACATAAAGATTGAAATGAAGAACAATGTGGAATCAGCATTTTAGGTTTTATTCAGGTTACCAAGGCAACCATTCTCCCAAGTGTGTTCTAGGACTGTCCTTAAAAGAAAAGGGAAAAAAAGTATTAAACGTACTAAAGTTGAGTGGAGCTCCAGTGAGACAAGTCAACAGAGGATTACATCAGGCTATTAATGGATTCAATGAACCCCTGGGTCCTCAGGCCTGTGCTGTATCTTAGTAGGGTTCCTCTTCTCTGATACAAGCCTGCAGATCAGTGTGATCTTACTTAATGTGATTATTCGGCAGCATGCTGACTTTTGTCTCCATTAAAAGTCAGATGGAGCACAAACACTCAAGAGCAGTGACAAACAGCACAATCCCTAGGACTGAAAACATCGTAAGAACAGCACACCTTTTTTAAAGGGCAGTCCTGACTCACTTGATGCCCTACTGTAAATGAAATAACATGAGACCAAAAAAAGTAATGACCTATATAGGATAAGAAGGGGGAAGATGACCACCTTAAGATCAGAGTTCATTTACTTCTAAATTGCATTTGTAAAATTAATATGATAAAATATAAATCAAATATTTTTTTATATTATATTATTAATATTATGTAAATTTTAGCATTTTGGCAATTTATTGAATAATTAAATATTGACCAATCAAAAAACAGAATCCCAGTCAAAGATAAACATCTAAATTACACAATTATATACAAGCCTATATATTTTTTACTGAATTCCTGTCAACAACACATCCACAGTAACACAAAGTTTTATAGAGGAAGGAACTGGTGACATGAGTTCTGGCTAATGGGGCTCCTAGCCACACCCACTGGCTGGCCGTAGCAGGATAGCAGGAGACCCCTCACACTATGCATTCGATTAATTAGGGCTAATATTGGATAATTAAACCTTCATGGTGTTTAATAGAGTATTAATGTCACAATTAATTGGAAATTTAGAAATGATTTTTTACTAAATTGTACCAAAACTGTGACAACAGAACACTATCTTTAGAAACCGTGACACCCCTAATTGTTTCTCTACAACATCACAACAGAAACTCAAGTTGCTCAATCAAGGCTATATTCATTTTCTAAGCTGGGGCAGAGATGGCACACCATCTTTCTTTTTGATGGTGTATTTTAAGTCTGCGCCCTGGTTTTCAGTCCATGAATATAGCCAGTCTCCCTATCCGTCATCCGTCTTTGCGCATGTCTGCATTATATATGTTTGTTTGTAATTTTTTGAGTCTTCATGTTATGCAATGCATGTTTTTCACCACATAATTTCACTGACTGCTACCTTTCAGTTATATTTATTATTTTTGCAGCTTATTATTTATAATTTTATCCGCTTTTTTACACTCGTCTCTTTTTTTCCTTCTTTTCTGTTCATGGAGTTGTTCATTATTCCATGTATTTGACCTCTTGTATCCTGCTCCTGTCTTCCTTTGCTTCTTTCATTGAAATCTTTTGTCTTTGTTCAGTCCTTGTATTTATGACCTCACTCTTCGGAGAATAACTATTTACTTGGGCTATCAATTTATCATGAATTTAGTACACTTAAAAAGAACTTGGTATAGGATTTAGTTTGAAACGATTGCACAAATAATTACAAAGAAACGGCAAGTAACATGTTGACTATAATGTGAAATTTTGTGAAAATAGTTGCACATTTCACTGTTAAAAATGTGAAATTTCACATTTACCCAAATTGAAGTGCTAATTTACTGGCCATCAATTCAATGTCAGTTTGGTTCATTTAATTTGTAAAAGCATGTGGAATAACACCTTTAACTAAGCTGAAGAACTTGAAATGCTCATTGCGCAAGGCGCTAAAAAACAGCGAGATACGACACAAGACATGTCTGTTTAGCATAGTTTTACATAGACTGGCAATTAAAAAAACAGCACATATGATCCTGTATAAATGTGCCTTAAGTCTACAACAGGCAAACAGACAAAATAGATTACTGTTGAATATAAGCGAAATTGTATTATGTAAATGAAACAGTATATTGACTTGAAAGCCACTTTTTTTGTAAATTTATTCCATGCTTAGTCTGTCACAGTAATATCAATGAATTATGTTCATTATTCAGCATATCAATTTAATTAACACGTTAATTGATGATTTAATTGACAGCCCTATTATATACAAATTATTATTACAATTGTTTTCTCATTTATGCCCCATCCCAACTCCACCATCTGTAAAGATAACACTCCATTTGTTGTGCTTTATTAGAAATTGTCACTTTGTCAGAACAAATGTTGGGTTTTATTTCCTGTTAAAGTCACAGTTAGGTAAAATTTTAAGTTTAAGATGTCATCACATGTGATGCATTGCTACTGTATGTTTTGACTAGTTTGTTTACGAGTATGGTAACATGTAAATGTACTTTGACCTCACCTTTCTTTCCTGTTGCTCTTTCCTCACCCAAACGCACTTTCTTTGTCAGTGTCTCACTTTTCTTCCCAGGGGGTCGCATGATATCGGTGATTGGTTAATTATCCTCTTATCTTTTCCTGTGTACTGTGGTTTATATGTCAAAGTTAAATATGAAATGCTCCTTACCCACTTTCCCAATATGGTGTATGGAGTGAGATTGAGATTGCACTGTTTGCTGTATGTGGAATGGAAGCAACAGTTTATTACAGGATGCAAAATTAAGAATGTATGACGATTACCTAAAATAATAATCACGAGTTGTTTGATGGGCATTTGTTTATGATTATTACACAGTCACTCTTATGAGATGAAATGCTTCCGTTTCATTTCAGTGTAGATGCAACCTCTGTCCTAGTTACTCACCGCCTGACCTGCTCCTTGACTCAGTTCTCTTTAGTTCACTAGTGGCGCTTTTCCACTGAGTGGTACGACTCGGCACGGCACGGCTCAGCTCGGCTCGGTTTGCGTTTCCACTGCAGATTAGTACCGCTTTAGAGTGGGCGGGATTATTCACATGTCATTATAGTTGCGCCGCCTCTACTGCCGCGACTCCTGAAAAACTTTTTCATTCCGCTTCGCCCCATCAAGCTCTCGCTGGATCCGTTCCTCTGCTATCAACGAGAGGAACGTCTGTTCTTCCTCAACAGACAACGAAACAGCCACTTTTTGGTTGTTAAAAAAGGTGCGCTTGTTCAAAACAGTTGCGTTCGATCCTTCGCTAAGTACCAGGTACTGTACCCAGTGGAAAACCCCCAAAAGTGAACCGTACCGAGTCGTACCGTGCCGTACCATGCAGTGGAAAAGCGCCATAGATCTAGTCTTCACACCAGGCACTCTGCTCATGCATGAGGGTTAAAGAAGACTGATTTCTTCTTTATTGTACAAGATATCAAGGATTCTGGCATCCATATACATGTCTGTTTCTTAGAGATTGTATTAACACTCTCTTTTCATGTGATTGTCAGCTGGATTGGACCCCATTCAGAAACTGTTCCTAGATTCAATCCGCGCATACTCCACAAAAAGCGGGTACATGGTGTTTTACTATCGTACTCTCTTGCTTGTCTCTGAAGAGTGATGCTGCTCTTTGTGATCTTACATTTTTTTATTAAATTGACAGCTACTTTTTGTGTTTTCTCAGTGCCGCTGGTGGTCTAGTTGATGCCGGTTCAGAATATCAGAAGGCTCTTGCTGAGGAAATAACTAAACTGCAGCGGTTGTACGGTGGTGGTGATCTGTCTTCCTTCCCTGAGTTCAAATTCCCTGGTGTGTACATTTATTTACATCTAAAATGGTCAATTCCAATACTCCTTCAGAATACAACATCAATAATATGAGTTTTCAGTTTTGTTTGAGTGTCAATGCATTTGTCCTAAAGTTGAATTTTTTGCAGTGCATTTGACTAACATGCCAACATTTTGTATTTACAGAGCCTAAATTTGATGAAGTGTCCTCCAAGTAAACTTCTGATCCTCTCCTGTACCTCAGTGCAATTTTGTGAAAGAAGTCTACTAAATGACTTTAATCTGTAAAAGTGAACATTTTGTGAGTTTTTATTTTATTTTGTGAGACTCTAAATACTAAATAGCTATTTTTCAAAAATTCTTATGTCTGATGGACAAGACTACCTGTGTCATGTATAATGCACATGTGGAAGAGAGCATAAGCTTAGCTGTGAAATAAATGCTTGTTGCTTTTCATAATGTTTGTTGGTGTAAAATATCTGGGAAAAGAGCTGAATAAACTGAACCACACATCTTCTGTCTGGTCTGAATGTTTTATTTTTAGAAATGATGTGAATAAAATGCATCTGAAATTGTGTGCAGTGGTATATTTCATCATAGTTTTTGGATTAGCCTGCATAGCACTTCATCTTTTATAACATGAGATCTTGACCAAATATATTCAATCTTGATTTTTGTAAAATGTTGCAACAAGATTTTTTTTAAATTTTTTTTATTATTATTATATTATAAGAATACAAGTAATAAGAAATATTTTTTAAAAATGGTTCAAAGTAACTACAAATGGGCATGTAAAACAAATATCTTTAAAAAAAAAACGGGTGGAGCATGCCCCCTGATCCACACAATATTCTCACCTTTTCATTTTGAGGGAACTATTGATAACGACCGATTCGTGGGGAGGAAAGTATAATTACAAGACTAAGAATGGGACATACAGGTTTGAATAAAACACTACATTTAATATCTAAACATCCAACGGGATTGTGTGCGAAATGTGGACAGAGTGAAACCGTAGAACATGTGATTATTAATTGTAAGGGTTATGATGAAGAAAGAGAAGTGCTAAGAGAAGAAGTATGGAAGAATGAAGGAAAAGAGTTAACATTAAAGAATATATTAGACTCAGATATAGGAAATAGTACGGTAAATGTGTTGTTTCAGTTTCTGAATAATACAGGTTTAATGAAGAGAATGTAGGATAAGTATATATAGAGAGGTAGAAGATGCTGATATAGTGTGGGTAGAAGGTTAGAAAATGTTAAGAGATAGAGGAAATGACCGATTCGTGAGTTTCATTTTCGACCCGGACAATAATAACAGGAGAACAAAGATGGCGACGTCCCTGCTCAGGTTAGGTCGACTCGGATCTGTCAAGGTAATAATAAACTCATTTTCGCTGTATTTCTACTAAGATGGTCTAGAGATACTTTGTAAATGTGTTTGAAGAGCCTTTAGCATAAGATTTTGGTGAAGACACGTTAAAACAGGACTTAAATCTCTGCCCGTTATAACCTTAATAGTGAAATGTCAGTAAAATATTACATTAGGTTAAATAACATTTATATTAATGACTAATTTTAAAATCATTTAAAAATGTTACTGGACTAATAATATGTTTTTCTGTGTTCATACAGGGTCTCCTGCGTGAGGGCTGGGGGACACCTAGGACCTCATTTATTGCAGCTCTCTGCACTAAAACGGACGTCCCACCCAAAACAGCAAAGAAGGCAAAGGCTTCAAGTAAGAGTAAGAGTAAGGGCATGCTTTTTTCTTTCCATACATCTCCCATCTCGAGTTTGTGTGATGTTCACATACTATACTCCAACCTCACTCGTAATCTGTCTACAGCATGATTATATTATGTGTGTAATTAAAATGTGTGCTTTGAGGTTCTGTAGGTGATTTTAGCCATTTTGCATCTTCATCTATACTTAGGGCCTGTCTCAATTACCCACACTTGTTGTTTTTGCACTTACATGAGTCTATACTGACATGACGTGTAAAAGAAAGAAAATATGAAGGAAAAAAAAAAGAAAGAAAATATGTTGGTAACCAGGCAGTTTTGATTCCCATTGACTTAATGGGACAAAAAAATACCAAAACGGGTACATGTTTGGTTACAGACATTCTTCAAAATGGCTTATTTTACATTCTACTGAAGAAACGCAGTCATAAAGGTTTGGAACAACATGAGGATTAATGTGAGAAATTAAGGATTAGGATTAATAAACGTGTCTCTTTAAGTGATAAAATCCAGTTGCAGACATTTTGTCAAATGCATGTACTCATCTCTGCACCAATTAGGTGTGCAACAGTAGCAACACTTTTTTTTTTTTTTTTTTTTTGCACTTACATGAGTCTATACTGACATGACGTGTAAAAGAAAGAAAATATGAAGGAAAAAAAAAAGAAAGAAAATATGTTGGTAACCAGGCAGTTTTGATTCCCATTGACTTCTGTTTTATGGACAAAAAAATACCAAAACGGGTACATGTTTGGTTACAGACATTCTTCAAAATGGCTTATTTTACATTCTACTGAAGAAACGCAGTCATAAAGGTTTGGAACAACATGAGGATTAATGTGAGAAATTAAGGATTAGGATTAATAAACGTGTCTCTTTAAGTGATAAAATCCAGTTGCAGACATTTTGTCAAATGCATGTACTCATCTCTGCACCAATTAGGTGTGCAACAGTAGCAACACTTTTTTTTTTTTTTTTTTTTACGTTTTTCTCACAATTTTGGGGCATATGAGTTCCATGATGAATGATGGGATACACTTAGCCTCAAATACTGCCCTGAAGCGGTATTAGGGTTAGTGTGGGTTTAGTGTGCATTAAGGTCACTGAGCTTTTGGCATTTTTCAGACCTGGGACAGTCTTGTGCACGCACTTCCTGTCACATGCACACGCTCTCAAGTGGCCAAGACTGCAAGTGTGGGTATTTTGGACATGCCCTTACCCTTTGAACTAGGTCACTAGATCCCATCCCTTCAACCTCATGCTTTCTAAAGACATGTGCTTTCAAAAGCATCATTTACTTTTGGCTGAAATGGTTGAGGACAAACAATGGAAGCTCATGCAGTTATATTAATTGGTTTTAAAAGCATGCACACATTTCCTTTAAAGATATCTGCATGACTATTCTTGTTCAAGGGATTTTTCAATGCTTTTACTGTTGAAGGTGGCATTTTCACAAACAATTTGTAGTACTGTGCAAAGTAATGGTTTTAATGATGTTGTTTGGTATGGGACATATTGAAGCCTTTTTCGTGTATTTTTTTTTTCTTCACACTTATAAACCATGATTTGCTATTAGTGCGTGATGGCAGTTATTTATAATTTAGGCAAGGAAACATTGTCATTCAAGAGAGTATTCTATTGGACATGCAAAATTTGTATACGTATAGGTATATTACATGGAATTAACACAATTAACATTTTAAAACTTAGAAATATTTTTGTAAAATACATATATTTTTAATCTTTAAGGAGTACATTAGTATATGCATTACTACCATTAAAAAGACTGTGGTCAGTAAGATTTTTTTTATGGTTTTGAAAGAAATCTCTTATGTTCACCATGGCTGCATTTATTTGATCAAAAATACAGTAAAATTGTGAAATAATTATGACATTTATAAACTTAAATTTTTTTCTGTGATGGCAAAGCTGAATATTTTTTTCAGGATTCTTTGATGAATAGAAAGGTAAAAAAGAAATATATATATATATATATATATATATATATATCTTTTGTAATATTATTTTCTTTACTGTCACTTTCGATCTGAATGAAAGTATACATTTCTTTAAAAAAAAAATCTTACCGACCCCAAACTTAACAGTAGTGTAGGTGGCCTCTAGAATTACACAAAATGGACTTAAATGTACAAAACAACAATTTTTATGTGGTCTTTAAATTAAATTATTACTCTGCAGTGTGCTTGCTCATTAGCTGGACTAGACTGAAAATGCAGTTTTTAGCCTGGTTTTGCTAAAGATGCTCAGCCTACATTTTTGTAAGACATTATTGGGGATTTGAACTATTTAACAAACAGATTCTGGTCTTTCCACATTCAAGTAGTGCTGTACCTGCATGCCTTTAGTCTAGATAGAAAATAACTGCCTTGGAGGTTGCTAAGTGGACTGACAAGCCTTAAAGGGACTTTGATAGGGTGTGCAAGGTTTTCTTATGGTGTTTGCTGGGTTTAACAGTTACATTGAACGGGAGGGTTTCTCTAATGTAATAAACTACAAAAACAATCTCATGTATTTTATCCCATTTACCATTTCCTCAGCCGATGAGAGGGCCTCTCTTCTAGCCTACAAGCCCACAGTTGCCTTCCCTTCTAAGCTGTCTGCCACAGGAGTTCTTCCCAAAGATGTAGCTTTAGGTGAGTCTGAAACCGTTGAGGCTGTTTCCACAGCCGCTGCAAGTGAGACGACAGCTGATGGTCCAGTTGCTGATACAGCAGCAGCTGAAGTTGCTGTCGAAGAGGCAAAGATCACTGAAGTCCCACCTACTAATGAAGTCTCTACAAAAAGCAAAGGAAGTAAGGCCTCAGATGTTGAGGCAGAAGTACAGAAAGATCAAGACGATAGCTCTTCTTCATCCTCATCCTCATCCTCCGGTGATTCTGATTCAGACTCGGATTCTGATGATGAGAAACCAAAGACTGAAACACCAGAAACATTACAGTCTGGAGAGAAAGCAGCAGAGGAGAAGAAAGCTCCTGGTCTGACGACTGAACAAGTAGATAAGCGAGCATTGCCTGAATCTGCCTCATTTGGAGAAGCTCAAGAAAGTGCAAAAACTGTGACTAAAGCAAAACCAGAAGAGGTTCCTGCACCAAGTGCCAAACCAGATGGATCAGATGAGACCCTTATTGATCCTGCCCCTATAGTATCATCCTCCACAACTGAATCGATTCCAGAAATGTCCAGTGAATACATAAAAGCTGACACTACTGATAAGATAGTGGACACCGCAACAGATGTTAAAACGGCTGCTGTGGAGGAGATTGTTGTTGAAAAGGAACCAGAAATCAAAGCTGAAGATGCTGTCAAAGTTGCTGCAGAAGTTGTTCCAGACGTCCCTACAGAAGCCAGTCCTGAAGAAGTAGTAAAAACGGCTGCTGTGGAGGAGACTGTTGTTGAAAAGGAACCAGAAATCAAAGCTGAAGATGCTGTCAAAGTTGCTGCAGAAGTTGTCCCAGACATCCCTACAGAAGCCAGTCCTGAAGAAGTAGTAAAAACTGCCGTTGAAGCGAGTCCTGGAGTAGCTTCTGAGGCTTCTGGAGATGTTGCAGCTAAACCTGAAGATGCATCATCCAAAGCTGAGGCAGGAATGCCGGCAGCCCCTTCAGAAGAGCTGGTAGACCCTGCACCTGTGGCCGCTGATGCTGTGGAGGCTTGGGCTGAGACCAACGTTGTGGAGACACCTGAGGGTACACCACACATCCTTACTCAGTTTCTTTCTCTGGATCCGTCACATCACAGAAACAC